GCAATCCCGAAATTAGGCATACGTACCACGCGAAGTTTTCAAAAACTCGAATATCGTAAGCCCGCCCTCAATCTAGATGCTTTATACATTTTATTCAACCAATTGTAGAAGTCAAAAAACAACCTTGAGATTTAACAGCTGATAATGGCTGGCCAATCATATAACAGAATATACGCCCAAATTTCAAATTGTTTTGCAGCTTCCGCGCTGTTGTTGATTTAATACACTATTTTTCTTAATCCTTGATAAAAACAATTTTATATATTACAGAGAATAAATCTTTTGTTCCAACAATTGGCAGTCAGAAATACCAGTTCTTGAATTTTTAAAATCGTTTGACTGATATAAGTACCGTGGAGAAAATTTTCACGATTTACCCTAGGTTAAGAAAAAATGGACAATTAGGTGTACCGTAATTTAAATTCACAACGACTTCTATCGGTGGTTTTTCCTGGAATTTCCTTAAGTCAGCCTTCATTTCTTGTTTCTGTTTGCACTGTAGCTTGCGTGATCGGATTACTATTTTTTAGAAAGGGAACCATATCTTTCACCTTTCATAGACTTTTTTAAAAGTAAATGGGAGCTTTTTTAGCAAGTGTTCTGGATAGAATATTAAACAATTTGATAGTAACGAACTAGTTATCCATTTGATCAGATAACCTCACTTCGATTTATTTTCTACGACGAATTTGAGTACACATAACGGTCTTAATATGTAGTCCTCTAAACTTTTTGCCCCATGTTTTCCGGTTTTATCAACAAATATCCTGGTGTACCATCTGGATTAGTTTCTAAGTTTTTAACTGGATAAAGTCCACATATGTCGTCTGCTCACTATGATCTTCGATCGGGACGATATACTTTGGGCCCTCAGAACCTTAAACACGTAAAAGTCAACAGGATCGAATGACGCGTGTCCTAAAATCTTGAGACTAATTATAAAATATATTGCTGCCCATAGACTACGATATCAATATGTCACTTTGCCAAGGTGCGTTAGCAACGGACTGAAGGGATGCAAATTTCAATCCAATACATAAAATAGGATCAAGACAACTTCTACCCAACTACAGACCTGTCAGCCTCACCAGATTTGTTGTTAAAATACTGGAATGAATCATCAAAAGGATCATGATGACATTCGTGGAAATCAACAACTTGCTTAACAGCGAACAACATGACTTCAGCAAATTTTTTCTTGTGCACAACAATTCTCCTTATAGTAAGAGAGAAATGGATAGAAGCCCTAGATAATGGAAAATCGGTGGATGTTGTCTACATAGACTTCAGAAAAGCATTTGATAAGATGCCGAAAAATTAGACTACTCTTGAAGCTGGAAAATCTAATCATTACCAGACTCCTTCTAAAATGGCTTGGGGATTTCCTGATAGGTCGTGAACAGAAAGTAAGAATAAATTCCAAGTGCTTCTCTTGGAAGTCAGTACTTAGTAAAGTACCATAAGGCTCTGTCCTAGGTCCTTTACTTTTTATACTGTATGTGAATGAACTCCCGAGTATAGTTGAGTCCCCAATGCTACTATACACTGATAATGCAAATGTTTACATTGACATTCAGCCTTTAATTTTGGAATATTCAGTAAACGTACACCAGGGTTTTAAGTTGTGCTAAAATGTACTACAGGGTTGCCCATATAATTTGGTTACGTAAAGTAACCTTTAAAAAGAAGAAGGCCTACTTAAGCCACGCCTAAAGTCTATTTAGTTACCACTTCTGGCTTCCGAAAATATTTCATTTATGTTCATGAAAACAAAAAATTCATATTAACTCATCTTTTTCAAAATAAGAACGCAAACAGCACTTTGGTAAGAGAAAGAAAAGGAAACACTACAGTTTAATCCCAACCTATTATAATATTATTGTTCTTGATTTGATTATCTGCGCTTAGGGTTTCCACGGATGTCTTAACACGCTCTTTAGAGTGCTAAGCAATCTCTTTGAAAGGATTACTCCCGAATAATTCGCTATTTTTATTGCACCAAGCTACTCTGTCGTTTTTGATAGATCTGATTAGCTGACACTATGACAGTATTTCAACTTCAATTTCATGTGAATTCAACACCGAGGCTAACAATACACTTTAAAGTATTTGTTAAATAAATCTGAGGCTATGTTACATCTGTAAAAACCATCCTAACTAATATGAGTAGTAACGACTTTGATCAAACCAACCAATATTTTCGAGTCATGCAGTATATCAGGCCAGGCCTTGTCGCAGTTTTTCAGCTGAAGGTTTATATTGTTAGTAAGTGTTAACAATGAAAAAAAATGACTTTTTACCAACTCACTAGGCCCAAACAAGAATCAGTGATTTTATTTGGAAATGGAGTGCTTAAACGCGCCCTCATTTATCTCAACTCTGTTTTCTGAAGGAGGCTCCTTTTGAAAAATTGTAGGATGGTATTATAACTTATCCCACTTATCTTCTTTCTGAGTACTGTGTTCAACATGCTGACCATTGCTGCTACCTTGATATGATGGTCGAGCTTGCCTGTCGTAGTGAGCCAATCGAGCTATACTGATTGGAGCAATCATTCCTCAAGGTCCTACCATGCCAGACAGGTCGGTTGAAGAGAAGCGAACCCAAGGTCCGAGAGAGAAGTCCTACTTTTAACCGTACAGACGTGTGACGGTAGTAAGGTATTTTCCTCAGACAACCAGTATAACAGCGATGCTACCTTCCCACGGGGAAGGGTGAGGTTAGAAAACGTCGACCCTAAAAATGCACATCTCACCTTATCCCAGGGACTTCCGTCTCCGGTATTAAGGTCCTAACAAGTACGTAGCTAACACAAAAATTACTCACAAAAAGGTCGTGTGTGACTAACCTCAAGCAGTTGTCCCTTGGGCACTGCGGTCACGCTCTCAGGTCACTGAGACCACCTCTAACCCAATTTCCTTTTCAGGTATTTCTGGAAGAACTCTTCCACAGTGTGGGGAACCTGAAAGTAATAACCATCTCCATACTTCTAACAGCGCTCAAGAGATTTTAGACCCAAAAATCCTCAGTTTAGATTCTCCATTCTTACCTCTATTATTAATTTGCGTACGCTTATATTCTTTTACCCTCTACTGATAGCTACACGACATCTAGGCGTAAAAGTAATGACTTTTAAATGTTACAAAATATCAGCTTAAATTCTCCGTCTGTTCACTGTCCGTTAATAAATGACAAGGAATTCGAGTCTCAGTAAGCCATTTACAAACTTTCCGTCATAATATTTTATTTGTTATATTTTCCTGGTAACGCTGGTAAAAATAATTAGGAACACGTGACATCTTATTAAGAAATCCTAATATCTAACCTTTGGAAACCAGTGTCAAAGATATTCTTAGTGGTTTTAGTTCGCTTCAAAAAGACTCTTTCAGCACGATAAGTATATTAACGCTACCAAAGAGCTGCGGGGAATCTTCTCTTCACTTCTCCATTAGCCTGGTAAGTTAGGCAAACATCAAGTCTTCTACTGATCTACATGCCATACGTTTTGGAATGCTAGAATATTTTTATAGCTGGTTTTCAATGATCTACAACTCTAATGCTCCATGTACAGCTAGGAAATCGCTTGTTGCTATTAACCTCCTCGAACTGTTAGGTTACATCTGTGGTTAACCGTAACATTTCATCATTTGAACCAAAATGTTTTGGATTTGTTACGTTCTGTGAACAACCAGTGCTGCCACTTAAAAGCACTAGCTACAGTACTCATAGACCATGCTAAATGCTTCTAATTGAGTGAATAATCTGACATGTAGTTCTTACACAATCACAAATGGCTGTTCTATAAAGCATTCATTAAGTAACGGGCTAAGGATCTACTATACACGTTGGACGAAATCTCTTCATTTCTCTATGGGACTAAACTTTCATTCCTTTTATTGACACTAAAAGGTAGTGTAAATTAAACTTATCGTTCTATCCAAGTAGCATTCGCCTTTGGAATTGATTTATGTAAATCAAACTGTCTGATAAATTAGATTCTTCATTGAACTCAAATACAAACGTAATTCCAGGAAAATACGTTGATAATTAATTAGTTTGAGGTCTATTAAGTTTCTACCCAATCTAGATTAAGACTGAATGTTATTCTTGTGAATTAAGAACACCATTAGTTTTGATAAAGCCCTACCTCAGTAAAAAAAAAATTGGAAAACGCCACAAGTGAGTCACTACAACGCAACATATCATTATTACACTACACATTCGATCTGCTCGTTCTTGTCTGCTTGGTTTAAAAATTACCAATAAAACGGGTCCTTAAAATATCTTGGTATGTTAACATAGGGGTTTATAAAAATCAATATTCCTTATAAACTCTTAAATCGGTTTCAGATTTGGTTCATACTACCTCAGGAATATATGGAATATCGTTCACTTTTATTTGAAATATTATTCGTTAGTAGAACATTGGAAAACGTTTACATGAATAGAACGTAGATTCTCTTCCGTAAAAATATATGACCAAGAGACTGGATCTGTTCCGCACATATTCAGACAACATCCTAAGTTTTTTCTCTCATTCTTTTTTAAATATACCGATTTACTAAGGATGACATCAAAACCAAATCGATTAAAATCTATGCAGTTTCTTAACGTTTAGTGGGTCACATTGAATACTTTAATGTTAGTAACACACTTTGTGTTGAAAATGATAGGAACTGATAATGGCGCGATGTGCATCAAATTCGATTTTTCTCCTATACTTTCTCTACTCTCTAAGATTCTCGTAACAACTCTTTGAATATCAATATGAATAACATGGTACTGATAAACTTTCTCCTCGCAAAATGCAGTGTAGGATTATATGGTTGAGGATCAACTAAGATCCTGTTTTTAGTACAGTGTTCCTGGAACAGTGAGTGATGAAAGAAATATCCACGTTTTTGGCTCAACGTGTCAAATCCCTAATTATAAACATGTATCCATCAATTATGTTGTCTGATATGGTTAAAATACCAATTATTTGATTCTTTTATAACAAACGAAATGATAAAACATTCATTGTTCAGCAGTGATACTTCTTTGATATAAAAACGTTAACGATGTACAATAATAATAATCGCAAACGAAACCAAGAAATTTCATAGTAAATTTCTCTTCTCATTGTGTTTCTTTTTAGTTACTCCCGGTGGATAAGTGGGGACTGATACTGAAATCCTCTTCTTTATTTAACATTGTTGCTTATGACTATCTTTATCACAATTAAAAAAACAAACAGAAACTATGCATGTAATTATGCTTCAGGTGAAAAATAAGTTGGGTGTAATCGATATTCTATGTTTGCTTTATTCATTTATCAATACATAGAATACAATTTTATTTTTTAACTGAAAATGAATAAATAAACAAATAAGCAATTCTCCTTTAGAACGACATAATGAGGTACTTTAAATAAATCGATGGAAACTGGTGCTTCAGTCGATCCAATAATATGATAAATAAAGAATCATGCGTTCATATGCATTCTGTGAAGACCGTTAAGTAAATTTATTCTTCTTGTTGTCTCCAATGAATCTGTAGTAATTTGAATGTATAATTTACTGGATACCGTAATATCTGTTTTAGACATGATTTCTTCACTAAGTGTATCCAGCGTGTTTGAGGTTCCTGTAATTTCGATTGTGATTACATTACCTGGAATGAAATTTTTTGAAGTATAGTGGTATAGCGTTAAATAAGGTCAATAACACGACACTAAAAGAAATCATTTGTACCATTTTGTGGCTTTGATATTTTTTTTACAAGTCATCGCTGATTATTCAACTTCTATCAAATCGGTTGGATATTTGAAATTGTTCTGTGATATAATTCGAATGAACCTTTTTGATTTTGTGGTTTATATAGCGAGCTGACTGTAGTTTGACAATCATTAACAATCAGAAAACATTGAATAGGGGTTCGGTACCAATATGAGACTCCTTGGTAGCGTACTTCCATGGATTAAACCCAGAATTTTCAGTCGTCACATCGAAAGTTTAACTTTCTAGTCGCTGGATTATCAATCAGTGTTTTACATTTCTATGATCAGTATCGCTTCCTTATCTTGACATCCAAACAAAAGTTGACTACATCCCAAATATCATTAAATCCCTTAAATCTTACCAAACGGCTTGAATTTTTATGGTGAAAATTAAAGTCGATGTTTCATATGTATCCTAATTGGTACTAATAGAAACACTACACTCAACTACTACCGAATCAAATGTAATGTAAATTTACTAAATGAGAATTTTAGATTATTCATAAGATGAATAATTTAACCTCTGAATTTAAATTACTTGTTTACAGTTGTCGGTACATTGTACAAAGCATTATATATTCCATATAGTTGCTTACATTACTACAGATACTACTCTTCTGAGTACTCATTTTTTAAAAATTTAAACTGAATGATTAATCTAATCCACCACATCAAATCGACAAATGAAATTAACTTTATACTCAAGTATAATCTGAACAGTTGATAAATTACAATAACAGATGGATATATTTCACAAGGATGATTGTGCTATGAAATGAGTACTTAGGTTAACCTTTCCATCTAAAAATGGATTATTGTATTGTTGAAGTTAGACATTAACACCGTTGGACGCCGGATCAGTGGTCTATCGGTCAAGTGCTCTGGCGCGAGACTGATAGGTCCTGGGCTCGAATCTCGCGAGTGCGAGATCGTGGATGCGCACTGCTGAAGAGTCCGATAATAGGACGAAACGGTTGTCCAATGCCTCCAGGTTTACCATGGCGGTCTAACTTCAATTGACTCATGATTTCAACTGTGAAAATACTAAATTCTCCACAAAACCCCTTCTGATCTATTGTATTATTTCAATGACTATTTGATAAGAAGGAATAATTTTCACAATTTATTTTTAACTAATAAAAACAATCCTCATTTTTGTGTTAATCTGATAAATGAATTTGTAATATATCGTTATTCAACCGCTATTCTTACTGTTTTTATATTAGTTCACGTGACTAACTATAAACACTAATGCTCATAATAATAATGAACACCTTCATAGTCAAATAACGTAGGTAATTGTTTATTTTTCTATCAATCTCATCTTTTAGCAAAAAGTAATTTCCTTGTGGAAAAAAATTAAAACAACTAATAATGCCAACCTTAAGTGGAATAACTGTAGTTCAGTGAATCAAAAAAAACAACTACAATTCAAATTGCTACCATCTGTAAACATAAACATACAGTTGTAGTCTGACACCTAAAACTATATTAATGGATTAGAAATGACAATGTGAATAAATAGGTAAATAAATAACATATTCATATATGTATAAAGTTGTATTGCGTGTGTGTTTAAGTAAGTAAATGTTTACAAAGAGTGAATCCAGAATAACAGAATTAACAGATCCACCATAGAGAAGAAAAAAAAGATAAACAAAACGAAACCATACAATCACACAGACATACATGTTATACATACATACACACATAAAACTACCATCGTCTTTGTCAACTGTCAACATGAAAATATTATTATATTATTATTATTATTACAACTTGAAAATTTAATATATTTGAAAAAACACAGAACTCTTATTTTGTTTCCACTTAAGTGAATGACTCAGACAAGATATGTTTATGATCAAGTTTTCAACATTATTATTATTATTATTATAACTATTGTTAAGACATATTAAACCACACTAAGGAACAAATATATATTCATGCCGTTAGAAAATAAGAATCCATAAGTTTATCTATGATCGCTTGTTACTCTTTAGTTATTGATTTTAATCGATAACAATTGGATGTGTGGTTATATGTTTAACAATTGTGAAAAAAGGTGTTATTTCTTAAGTTAATTCAAGGAATTTAACGAAAATAATAATAATAATGAACTGATCTTGGATCCACAAAAACTCAACACCAATAATGATGATAATAACAATAGTAATAGTAATAGATAAGCTATTACAATATCATAGAAATGATAATATGTGTAAACGATTGGTTCTAATAATGAACTAGGATTATATATAAGGTTATATGGTGAAGTTATACAAGATGATCGGATTTTATAATCGATATAACCTGTTGATTATGACCTTAAAAAGCCCATTATTATTGATACAACAAATTCCTATACACTAAATAATTATGGTACACATATGTACATATAGATACCTCTGTATTAAGAAAAATTGGTACTAATCTCATCGTTCTAGTTCTCAATATTCATGCTTACATAGGGTGTAAGTGATAACTATTTTAACCTTTGAGACTTGTAACTCAACTGATGAGAATCAAACGGTCTAAGAACCAAGTCAGTTACCCGTTACAATATTAAAATGGTAGACTGAAAAAAAATTAAGTGATACTCAACATCAAGCCCAAAGACCAAGATTTCATACGAATTAGTACTCTCTGTCAAGATTGAACTCTAATCATCAAGGACTAATGTTCCTGCATGAATTACGACCCATACCACACAAATGGTCCAGGCACGAGCATCAAGCTATTCGTGCTTCGAATAGCAATGTCGGTTACTGAACAGTGATCAGTGTCGTCTATCCTAGTCTTAGATATTATGTAAAATTTTTGAATGACTTATTCGAATCATCAACATGTACAAACCGATTTTAAAATACTTCTTAGAACAGTTCTTTGACCTCATCACACCCTTATGATTAGATAAACCTCTTAAAATATTTTTGCCTGAACTAAATACCTTGTTAATTGCTTGGATGACATTCTTTTCTTCTTCACCAGTCACTGGATTTTTTATATTCATTGATTTTGAATTTTGTGCAAGTGCTATCTAAGTGCCACTTGAAAATATTTAGTAAATTAATTGAGAATATGTATCCTTTTCTAAAATTATTTTCTGGGCCAGATAGCTATTTCTTTATCTTTTCTAATTCCTCATCAGTACATATTCGCAATCATACATACGAATAAATCCACTATCTTTGATTATATGACGAACAAAATACGTTTAATCCATCAAGATTGAATACAGAGGTTCTTGTTCTCAGATGCAGTTAATACATGATAAAGCCGGATCATCGTCCATAAGTATCCGTCACGAGTAATCAATGTTGAAGAGTTCCACGTTGGAGAACATCAGCTGTACAGTTTACTTTCTTTTTTTAAAAAGGTACTCCAGCTGATATCATTTAGTCATAAAGATATGGAATAATGTATTAAAATGGCCACATTAGCTGTGAACAATAAAAAAAACTCACTATTTCATTTTTTTAAGTTGAATTAATTGTAATTATTCTTTTTATGATTAATTAAAGTTTAGTGATAACAGCATACACATATGGATAAGGTCTTTGATCAAATACCAAGTGAGAAATTCCTTATACCAGTTATAACTTGTTCAGTGTATTGGCATAAACATCATTTAGGAAATAGTTACCATTTAAGTTAGCCATAGATGAATTAAATTTTAACTGAACTTATAACAATGTAATGAAAATCATTATAATTCATTAATGACAATGTTAAATACCGTATTTTCCAAACAAATTTCTGATTGTCTCCATAACTATTAGGATTAATATCTGTATTTAGACTCCGGTAATGAAAAAATATTAGGTCATACAAATGTACTTAAACAGATATTTAAAAAAAATATTTTTTAGCGTATTCTACATAATATTAGAATTCTCAGTATACAAAGATGTTCAAACTACAGTTTCTAGATTAAAACAAATGAAAAAACCTACTCCCTACTAAGGTGATGTATCTTGTTGACAGCTGGATGTCTAGAATTAATTGACGTAAAGCCTTATCTCAAGTTAGATGAATTTAGTGTTACTGATTGCCAGTTTAAATCGCATTATCACAAGGATTCTAGTTGAAATCATCTAGTATCGATGTTAGAACTGTTGTCAACAAGTACTTTTTGCCTGAGATAAGTTTCTTTAAAATCAGTATTTTTATACAGACTAATATAAATTGGAGAACAACTGAAAACCAAAAATTAGTCAATAGCTAGTTTATCCTATTATCGAACTACTTATAGGTGTGTAGACACGGTTAAATACCACAAACAACTCAGTTACTCTGAGTACCTCATATAGCATATGACTTTTGTACTATTGTGTTGGAATTGAATAATTCACTTTATTCAATTATTGACACATCACAAACGTAATCTAAAGCTATAATCGAAAACTGTTATACTAATCATAACTCATTATTTCGGTTACTTATTATGAATCTTTGTAAAGTCGAAGGAACTGCACGGTGTTTTATGGTTCTTCAGCTATTATTCCTTCATAATTTTTCTATAAAAATGCAAATCAAATTTCGACAGACTTATCACTGACAGTTATTTTTGTTTAACCAAGTCAAATGACTGATATTGTTCATAAATAAAGTTCATGCAAATACAGAAACTCAAAATCAACAATCTAAGTAGACAATGTTCTAAGTACACATTTATTATTGTAAAAAAAATAGCTAAGAAAGTATAATTTCATCAAGCTCAATTATATGTTGACACATAGGTTATTATGGAATTTACCCAATGTTTGAATTTATAATCAAATTTGTATTAATGAACCGGGTAAGAAAATACGTTACGCTATTCATTCAAGTTTTTATTATGACATAAATATTAAGTATTATATATGGCGACAGATGACTTGAAAAGGGAAAA